CAACTACGACTACGACTACTACGACTACTACTGCGACGACGACGACGACTACTACTACCATTGCTACTGCAACAACTACGCTTGAGGCACTGTTATTGCTATCAGTGCTGCTTTATGCATGTTTCTGCTGTTTCTGCTGCTGCTGCTGCTGCTGCTGCTGCTGCTGCTGCTGCTGCTGCTAGCATTGGCAACTACAGCTGCTACTGTTTGCTTCGACACACAGATGCACACACACACACAATCACACACAAACACGCACACATATACAATCCCAAAACAAGTGGCCCATGTAAAGTGCTGGCAGGTGAGTGTGTTCACGGAGGTTTAGCTCTCCCGCAAGCTCCTTCCAATCACCCTGCCCCAGACGACGTAGAGCATCGGCTTTTCGACCGTGTCTCCCTATCTGTACCTGCCACTGAGACTCGAGACCGAGGCACAGCAGCAAGTGGAGACAGCACAGATGGAGACAGACATCCAGCGACGGAGGGCAGCAGATCTAAAGGAGCCGAAGGCTGTCTGTGTGGCTTCATCCCTGCTTTGGGCTACCTTTGGCAGCTCTTCACACTGTTAGCCTGATGTGCTACCCGCAGGAGATGCTGGAGCAGATGGAGCTGGAGCTCAGCCTCGTGCGCGGCTCAGTTGCGTAGACCATCCACGTAGACCCTCTCGTTCTGCATGCGGGAGGGCAGGATGGACTGAGTGGTGATGCATTCTAGAAAGTGGGGTTCAATTGCAATGCTCTTTTGCATGTTGGACTGTCAGCGTTCACATTGCGAACGCGGCCGTAGCCTACCTTTAGGAACGAAAGCACCATGTGAATGTTCGTGCAGCATATTGCAGCTTGACATCAGCGAGCTTCCTGAGCTAATCTAGCCTGAAGCACCTAAGTGTATCAAGCACCCCCGGTGGATGCAGGAGGGCATTGGATGATGTGAGGATTCCAATGCATGCCCACCAACCGGTGTCACACTGAAAGATGACATTCGACACGCCTGTATCCAAAAAGACAGCAAGCCCACGCACCGTCCGTTCCCGCCGTTTTGTTGTCTGGAAGACTACACAGATGCTGCAATCCTGCTTTAAGCCACGCACTACACTTTTGTGATCTGAAGATTTTAAGATATCGCATTCACAGTGAGTTTTCATGTAGCAGCCGTGCCACCAGGTCAAGCTGGACACAAGTCCAAAGCCCGCAAAGGAGTCTGCATGGATCCCAGTTCCAAGCTTTTGCGAAGGGCTTTGGCGGATGTGACCTCATGTCCTAAACCCTGAACCCTAAACCCTAAAACCCTGAACCCCTAAACCCTAAGCCGGGGATCAGATTGAAAAGCTTGAAAGAGACCGCGTTTCACTGGGTGCCTGTGAGGTCGCCACACCCGAGACCGCAGAGTGCGCCTGCAGTTCTTGCTGCGCAGTGTGGGGTTGTGAGCAGACTCACTCAACAGTCCATGATTGTTGGGCTGACCGCGAGTTGATTTTCTCTCATGTGCTTCTGAGTCCGTTTGCAGGGACGGACCTCGGGTTGGAAGGCTCAGTGACTCGGAGGACGAGGCCGGTGCTCTGACAAACTGGGAGTCGGCACGACCCGCATCAGTCGAGATCATCGCTGGGTGTTCCTCCTGACACAGGCTGACCACCTTGCAGTCCAGCTCGCCCGAGGCTGCGCGCTTTTTTTGATAGTGCGACTCTGACTCCTTTTCCCAGTCGCTGTCAGCACTCAGGATGGTCAAGCACTGACGGCGCCATGCAAGCGTTGTTGCACAGGTACGAATCCAGGCAGCCCAGTCTCCAAAGAGGCTGTCGTGCGAGCAGTGAGGTGCGAACGCTCAGTTGCCAAAGCATCGAAAACATCACCCGATGAATCTGAGGCTCCCCCGCTGTTGCTGTTACAAATGCTCTGACTGTAGAGTCCGCAGCCGATGCCACATGCTTTGCAAATCTCCACCAAACGTGGCCAAGGTTGATACGACAAAACTTGCTGATGCAGCGAAAGCTCTCTGGCTTGCTGGAATGGCGTTCGGAGGCGAGAGTGTGCGCCCATTGCCATAGCTTCAGGCACCTAATTCCTCGGCAGAGCATGAGCGGCATTGAGCGGCCCTTGCAGCTCGAGTGACCGAGCTTGCAGCGTCAGAAGGTCACGGTGAGCAAGTTGCAGATGGAGATTGACCAGGAGGCCGGCTTTTGCAGAGTTTTACAGAGACGGACACAGGTCCTTACTTTGTTTGGGATGATCTGCGGGGGGGTTGATCTGGCTGTGTTCAGGTAGATTTGGTGCAGCAGCTTCGGGCACGAGAGTCGAGGACCGGAGGCGCGGCAATGCACCGCAGATCCACAGATCTCAGCTCGGCTTGAATGCCCAGTTTCCAGCACGCGGCTCAGAGCCGTCACTGCAGTGGAAGTAGCAGCGAGCCGCCGACCTCAGTACGAGCAGTTGCTGACATGCCAGGCATGCCTTCACAAGCACCTGACCAGGCCGACCGCAAGTGCAGTGAGGTGTTGCAGAACCGAGGTATCTTTTTCTCTATGTATTTCTCCTCTGTATCTATACCTATGTCTGTATATCTGTGTATACATATATATATATATATATCAATGTATATATATATATGTATATACACCAGTATCATATACTAAGTATAAAATATTATGTACAATATATAATCTGGTTTTATACTAGATATACATATATATATATATATACAAATTTGCATGTTCAGGAACTCAATGGAAGGCTTGCGATTCATAACAGCACGACAAGCAGGACAAGAGTTTCTTGAAGGAGCCGTTAGCATGCCATTCGTCCATGGCTGGGGTGCAACATGTCACGTGAAGTACCTGGTGCCCAAGTGTGTGTGAGTACATACAAAACTATATATATATATATATATATTTATGTACATACAACTTTTTATGACACAATTCCATATAACATAATAACATATCATATAGTACCATAGGATATAAACTGCTATACTGTAAGGATAATATAACATAATATGATACAATAGAACAATACATATATATATATACAAATGTATGTCTGTCTGTATGTATGTATGCATGTTTGTTTGTTTGTTTGTTTATGAGGCATAGCTATACATGATATAGATACAGGTGTAGATACATTAGGTAGCGACATGGATATAGATAGATAGATAGGTAGATAGATACTCTGTATGTGTATGTATGTATATATATATATATACATATATACATATTTTTTTAT